GCGAATCATCGTTCCGCTCGGCCTCGGCCTCATCCTGACGCCTGTCAGTCTCCTGGTCCTGCACAAGCGGAGGCTGATTGATCATTGAGCCAAAACCACTCACCCCTAAACCCTCAACAGAATCAACAGAACCCTAACCCTGAGGCCTGAGGCCCTAAAGCCTAGGACCCCTAAATTTCACCATCGCCAATCGCCCGACTCCTACACCAGCACGCCTCACCAAACTACTTCATATGGGCCCACATGGGCCTGAGAGGGCATCGGAAGGGTTTCATCGAGAAACGACGTCGTCGCGGTCTCCGGCTGCGGAAGAGCATCTGGGGCTGTCGTCGGCGGCATAGCTGTGGCTGTGTCAGCAGGAGGTTCATGATGCGGGGCTGTCGGTGCTGGTGCAGGCGGCGTCGGCGGCGCAGCTGTTTGAGCGGGGAGTGCGTGGGCTGCAGGCGCTGTAGCCGCTGGCGTAGATGTTTCTGCTTCTGCAAGACGATCAGGAGAAGCCGGAGAAGCCTCGTGAAGAGAAGAATGTGCGTTACCGGCACCGGCGGGCTGTCGCAAATGAAATGGTCTGGACTGGACGTGACTGGACTGGACTCTGGACTCTGTAGTATGGAATTGGAACAGTGGGACAGTGGAACAAGTAGGTAGTGAGTATGAATGAGCATTAAGGAATCTCAGAACCCAAACTCAAGTTCATGAGTGCATCCAGTGATGAGGTCTGATGAGGCTCACTCGCTCAGGTCCGTCAAGACGGGCCGTCAATCGGTCAGGAGTCCAACATCCAACAGCCAACTGCGGCAACAGCGTCTTGATTGCCTCATTGCATCAACTTGTATCATGCATTGTCACGCATCACACTCATCACACAACTTAAGCAACCCGGGACCCAACAGCTGTATAACCCACTGCCTCGGACTGGACATCATCAGCAGTGGCTGTCGGAGCCGCGGCTGTTGGCCCAGCCGCTGGCGCTGAGGTCACTGAGGCCAGGTCTTGGCCGTCTTGCACCTGCTTTGAAGCCAACTCCGAAGTCTACTAAGGCTCCGAAGCCCGAAGCACGCCAAGCCCACCGCCCACCGTCACCAAATTCCCAATCACCAAGTCACCAAAATCACCAAAAGCCTGCAATTGAAATTCAATTGAAAGCCTAAAGCCTAAACCGAAAGTCACAGCACAAACCCATCCACCTCTTCAGGTGCCTCTGACAGCTCCTCCTTAGGCCGAGTGGAAGCAGGCTTCTTGAACACATGATTCAACGGCTGCTCATCTTCGTCTTCATCCACTCCGTCCTCCTCAGCCGCCTCAGCCCTTAGGGCCGTTTGGTGGCACGGGCACGGGCAGGCAGTTACGGATTATGGATCGAGTCAGTGTCACGGCACGCCGGCACGCAAGAACTTCAGGGACCGATTCAGGGATGTGTCATGCTGTCAGGGTATCAAGGATTCTAAGGCAAGGGTGGTAGGAGGAGTTCGGCTTGGCTTTTACAAATCGAGACAAGTAGCTCTGTTGCGGCCTGCTCTAGAAGGCTTGGGACTGGCTTCGGGCTCTGGATCTCGGGCAACACTTTCAGCATCAGCTCCAGGTAAGGCTTCATCTTGACCTGCGCATATACGGGCAACAATGGTTGACAGGGTTTCATGGTTGTCGGCAGAAAGTATTGGTTTAGGAAACTCATAAGCTCTCAGGGTTCAAAAGGTCACCAGGTGTTCAGTTCACAGCACCATCAATCTAAGCCATCTAGAATCTAGAATCTAGAATCTAGCGACTAGCGAGTACAAATGGCAAACGAATCTGAGTGGAAGTGAACCAAGCCGAGCCTGCTCGCCAACCAATCGCAGAGAAGCATTCGCGGAGTCAGACACATGACGATCGAAGATCCTGAAAGGCACGAATCTTTGTGATGCTCTCCGGAAGCACAGGAAAATCTCTAGCAGGCTTGTCAGCGCATGCCGACAGCAAGACCGTAAGAGTCCGAACACCTGACGTCGTGATCTCCAAAATCCAGAACCCCAAACCCCTAAATACCGGAAACAACCCCCTACCAGCTCCCTTGACTAAACAATCCCTCATTCAGTCGCCTCCGTTCATCCCTGAACTGAAGCTCCGAAACACCCTCCCGACTCGCTCTGCCCTCATCATCGCCAACACCCTCCAAACTTCTTCCTCATGCTCTCAACAGAAGCGGGATTCCCGGTTTCCCTAAACCCCAAACCCTACGCCCTAAACCCCTAAACCCTCAGCCCTCAACCCCTAAACCCTAAACCCCAAACTAACCCCCAAACCCCTAAACCCCAAAACTCCCAAACTTCTGAGTCCCTGAGACTCTGAGTTCTCAGACTCTGAGTCCCTGTACCCCCGCACCTCAAGGCCACTGACGTGTCGTTCACGGCCTTCTCCAGCATGATATAGCCAGCCGGACAGAACAACACGTCGCCGGTTCTCACGTGGCCCGCGCACAGTGTTTCGAGCTCAAGACCATCCGGAACTGTGGCAGCTTGCCTCTGTTCTTCCGTCCCCAGGCCCCAGGCCCCAGAAAGTTCAAAGTTTTTTCGACGTACCAAGTTTACGAACTCGGAAAGTTTAAAGTTCACTCGAGGAGATAAGTAGCAGGCTCATGATCCTCTTGCGAACCTCTGCAAGGTCCGTGCACTTGAAGTAATCGACTGCTTCTGCAGCCGACACCATGAGCACAAGCAACCCGCCACTGATCTGGCAAGGATAACAAGGTGGCAAGGATGTGCTCAATATAATAAACAATAAACCTCCCCTGCTTCACACACATGTTGAAATTCTAGTACCCAACAGGCCCAACAGCCTGCAACCGGATAGTCGGCATGCCCTGTGCATCCATGCCACAGAAGACATGGTTTTCCTTGTGTCCCACGAGCCAGAGATGCTGAAGCTGGCTCAGAGCACCTTTGCCGTCTTCCATGTCGTTGGACGCAGTTTCCAGGTCCGTCTCCTGTAAGATTGTAGCGGCTTAAGATTGGAACATCAATCTGACATGAGTTCGAGTCGAGTCTGAAACTCTGAATTCTCTGTCTCTGACTGGTGGATTCTGGATTCTGAATTAGTCTGAGTTCTGAATTAGTCTGAAACAGAAACCTTGAAACTTGAAACCGGACCGGGGCAATTGCCTAACTAACTCAACTTAACTAACTTAACTGGACCAGCACAACAGCACAACGGTTGGCACACGGCACGGCACGGAACAACCACGGCGCACTGCCCAACCATGAAATCAACAGCTACTGCTAGCAAGTTCTCCACTGATTGTTGGCCATCATATACTGCTTTGCTGCTTCTCGTATCTCGAGATCGCCCGGCCTGTACCATGCAGGTGTTGTCCCACTCCTTCGGAAGGAGGCTGATCAGAGCATTGGAAACCTTCTCTGCCAGGCCCTTCTCTTCGAGTGCGGCCAAGACCTTGCCATTGCCGTCCGTTGAGGTCTGCTCGCGGAACTGCTTTAGGGCACTGTCCATCACCTTGTGTCCCTCGCCATCTGAGACCTGTCTGATGACAGATCTGCCCTTGCGAACCTTAGACCAACACGTTGTACCGCAGCGCAGTACCGCACTACGGTAACGAGTGTTGACATGCGACGGTACACGCTTCAGGGCTGATGGCGGTCTGAAAATCTGAGAATGGTCTGGGTCCTGGGTCTGTCTTGAAACCTCCCACGGCCCGGCCCACAGCGCCAAAGCTCAGCAAATAGGTCAAAGACATGACGAGCACAAGCAAACACTCCAAACAGATGTCGAAGATGTCGAGGTCGAGCGAGCGAGGAATGCTGTTTGCAAGTGGGAGCGGAGGTAACCTGAGGCCTGAGGCCTGAGGCTTGAGGTAACGGAGGAGGGAGAGAGAGAGAGAGACTCAGAGTCTCAGAGGGAGAGAGGGAAAGAGAGACACACACTGACAGTGACACACACACTCACACACAGTGACACACACACACACAAACACAAAGGGAGGTGTACTGGCCAAGGGGAATGGCCAGATGGCCAACTCCGAACTCTGAACCTCATCGAGAAAAGAAGTTCCCCAGCGGGGTCACGAACCGCGGACTCGGACCAAGTGACAATCATCGGCAGGTCTGCGACAAGCTCTCCCAAACCATCTTCTTGGTCACCTCCGGGAATAGTCGCATCCTTGACGACTCGGATGGGCCTGGCCTTCATGATGTGCTTGAAGTGTTTCAAAGCATCGGGGTCGCTCTCTTGGATGATCTTCTGAAAGTTCATCCGGCCAATCCTAAACTGGTCGTTGTGGGGCGGGATGCTTTGATGGGGATGGTAACAATTACTATTACAGTTCAGGTTGACTTCCAAATTCCAGCTGAAGCGCAAAGTTCCCATGCGCTTGTTGTCCTCTTGGAGCTGGTTCTGCAAGGTTTGATGGGCCTTGTTCACAGCCTGACAAGGGAAGCATTTGGAAATGGAAGCTGCGGCCGTGGTCCGGGGTTTGGGCTGGGGTTTAGGGTTTGGCGGTTTAGGGAAGGGGTTTAGGGTTTAGGTTTTAGGGTTTAGGGTTTAGTGACTTGAATTATCTTGAATTGTTTAGGCAAAGTTTCGGGTTTGTGGTGGGCTCAGTTCAAGTTCCTGTGTTCAGACATCATCTTGCTTCGGGACCCTTCGGCCGATAAAGAAAGCATAGCGAACTCTAATTCCTGCAGAGGGAAGCACTAAAACCCTCTTTGGTTTAGGGCCCAGGGCTTAGGGTTTATAGGGCCATAGGGCTGCAGGGCTAATAGGGCTTAGGGCCTCTAGGGTTTAGGTTAAGGGTTTAGTTTAGGGTTTAGCCACGGCTTGAGGTATTTCACAGCCCTTTATTTCTGCAAGTTCGGGGCCGGGCCCCCTTCCCAAGCCTACTCTTCCTCATTGGCCCTCCTTCGTGACCTGGACCGACCTAGTAGAATTTCGAAATGGTAGCTGTTAAAAGTACCTGGTAGGTAGTAGGTAGGGTCCCACTCCCACTGCACCGCGCCTTGATCATACCACCGAGTTCCGTAACACACTTCCTCAAAGCACCGGCCAACGTCTTCGTGTCCTTGGCCCGATCCTGTATCAACTTCAGCCGATCCTTGAACTCATCTTTCGTGCTGCAGGAATCGAAAAGATCATCGAGAAGGAAGTATCCGACAACCACGGCCTTGGATGCGTAGGTCGCCATGGACTTGTCGGACTTGATCAGCTTCTCAAACTTTTCCTGGGCCACTTGGATTTCGTTTTGAACTTCCTCGGACTTCCCACCGGCGAGATCACCATCCGTGTGGCCTGGGTCTGAGCCGCCTGTGGAGTCTTTCGGCTCCGACTCCTTCGACTTCGACGCATCCATCTCACTCTCCGAAGCCTTCGCCGAGGGCACCGGCTTCAGGTCTGCACCATGCAACGCCAGCCTGCAAGCCTCCGTGCGTCTGTCAAGAGTGAAAAAGGCTTTGATGACGCCTGCTTGCTCTCGCAAGCCCAAACTCCGATCCATGACGCGGTCCTCCGAAATGCCCTTGTCAAGCAAGTCCCGGAATGTCTTCGTCAGCTCCTCATGAGCGTTGAAGAATTGCTCGCTTTTCTCAACAGCTTGTGTCAAGGCGGCCTTGCAAAAAGTGAAACTTGTAGTGAGCTTGGCCATGTACTGCACTGTTGTCAGCTGCACGTCCAAGAGCTTGGCCACTTTGTTGGCATTACCCTTTCCCTTGTTGCGCCGTTGCTTGTTGCTCAGTGTTCCCGAAGATCCGGGGCTGATGAAAGAGTCGCCTGAAAGGTCACTGAATTGCAAGACACCTGGAGACCGGAAGATGTCATCATCGGTCGAAAATTTGACCTCACTCATTAGCAACCTAGCAACAAGTTACCATGGAATTGACGAAAGGATAGCTGGGCCATCCACGAAACATCAAAGGCGCTATAAGGTACGAGGCATTCAAGGAGGCAGAAGTCAGAAGCGCTTGGGGATTCTCGGGCATTGGGACCAATGCTTGGACTACAGGGTTGGTTAAGGTTCAGGTTCATTGCTGACTTGCAGAATTCGCTGAAATACACCGGAGCACAAAGCCCTTCACCCTGTCAGCGATGGCTTGCAAATTCTGCGCCGATGGGTCCTTTGCGCTCCAGCTCTTCTCACCCACTCGGGACTCAGCCTGGAGCTCGAAGTTCGTTCTTTTCAGGCCGCTCTTTCTGACCCAAACACAATCTCTCTTTTTGAACTCACCCGTCTTCTTGCATTCCACCCATTCGCTGTCCTTCAAGTCCGGATTCTGGCGGTCTCCTTAGTCTCCTAAAATTATTAGTGGAATCACCATGCGGGTTAGGAGGAGGCTGTTGCTCATGTTGGAACGGAAACGAGCCGAGTGGCCGAGCCTAGTAGTCTGTTCATCTTGGATCGCAAAGGAGCAAAATTGAAACGAGCACAGGAGTAACCCAGTAGTGTTGCTCATGTTGGCACGGAAACGAGCACCGGTTGTAATCCAGGAGTAACCCAGTACTGTTGCTCATCTTGGAACGGAACCGAGCGGCAGATAAATAATCGTCCGTCGTCAGTCTTATTCTCACTCAAAACCAATTCAGCCAACTGGCGCTCCCATGCTGTCAGCACCTGCTTTGCGGTGAGGCGATCTTCTTCAGGAACACCATACATGAACCATTCCTGCCGCACTCGTGCATTTTGGGGCTTGGGTGATTGAGTCATTGAGTGAATTGATAAGCGAGTGAATCGAGTCATCGAGTGAGACTGGCTTGGGGCTTGGAGTTGGGGTTTGGGGCTTGGCTTGGGGCTAACTTGGCTGACAAAATCAGAATCTCACCGGTCCCAGTCTGGGGCCTGGGGTCCCCAGAGTCCCCAGTCCGATGGCCAGTCCATCCGATCCCCAGTCACCCAGTCCCCAAATGTCCCCAGACGGTCCCAGCGTAGCCCTAAAACCCTATAGAAACTAAAGGCCTTGAAGCAAAATTGCAAAACACTGAAAAACTATCGACACTATCCACTAAGGACCGACCACTCCCGTCCCACAGTTGTAAACTTTTAAACTATCCAAACTCCAAACAAGTCAGGTACCCAAAACCCCGAAACACCCGCCTTGTACCATGGAAAGGAGAGCAGCTCCATGCCGTACTTTTGCTTCTGTCCTCTAGTCTGCTCGTGACGCTCCTTGTAAGAAGCAAGGTTGAATTTCGCAGTGGTGGAAGGTTGTCCGAGTCCACGTCTGGCACTGCCAGCACTGTCTTTTCCTTTTGTTTTGTCGCACTCTTCAAGAATTTGCCTGTACTGGGCCAAATCGACCTTTCGAAGCCCCTTAAACCACGCCTTGACCGCTGGGTCCGGCTGCTTGTAGGTCACGTTCCGGGCTTTGCTACTGCAACTTAAGCAGTGGTCCTGCAGTCTGTACTTTTTGCTATCATCGGCCGTAATCGTAAACTTGACACTGCATATCTCGCACGTCAATTCTTGACCGACCAAAAGCTCGGCCAGATCTGCTTCTTCTTCTTCTCTCGATGCGCCACCCATGACTACAAGCTCTGGACGTTGGACGCTACAGTCAACACAGCCACGACATGAACCTGTAGGCCCCACTTTACACGCCATCGAAGCCGCTGCCATAAACTTAAACCTTACAGATGTGGCTGATAACTAGTTACCGCATCAGTGTCACAGTCACAGCACACGGTCATGGTGAATGCCTGGAGTCAGCCTGAGCAGGACACGGGCGGCACCCACTGAGCTTCATACTCTGGCTTTCGAGTTCGGGTGTGGGAAGTAATGGGAACCAGTTTAAGGAGGAACGGGGTAACGGGAACCAGCAGCTCCTGCCAGCGTCGCGCAACGGAAACAACCTTTGGTAGAAATGTTGCGAGTGATCAGCATTTTTTCGTAGCCCTGGCCCTGGCTGCCCTGGCTGGGATCATTCAGTCGGTCTGCGGCTGTAGCAGCAGTCTGCGAAGGCTGTTAAAAGTAAACTTGGAATGATGTTATCTAGTTATTTACTAGACTGTAGACTTTAGATGCTTCTTGTGCAGTAGCCACAGCCACAATGGTTCCCTTGCAGTCTGAAAGCGCAATCAATTGCGACTTGCGATCAACCCATGACCCATCAGCCGGATCCAGCCAGTGCCAAAGGAATCATCTAGCACGCCTGCTTGCCCTTTCGCCCTGAGTGTCATCGCCAAAGCCACGATCAACGAAGCCACGGCCACGGACAGGTCCATATGGTCATCCAAAGTCCTTCGGGTTGAGGTCCTCGGGCTTAGAGGTCAGGGTTAAGGGTTTAGGG